CAAATGTCGACATTCGCGTAAAAAAGTATTGGAATTAAGAGTATGATTGGCAATTTAAATGAGTGAAATGTTGAGTAACCGGGAATTTTCACCTAAAAGTGTTGATTTTCGCGTAAAAAGACGTTTTCACTATTTAAATAAAATGAATTGTGAATAAATCCCTCTAAATTGTTAAGTTTTGGGATGAGGAAGGCCATAAAATTGACTATGTGATTTACTTATTTGTGGAATTAGGATAGAATGAGAGAATTGATTTGAATTTGTCAAAATTTAGGCATAATTATTTTTATTTAATTGAATATTATGAGTATTTAGTGTAATCTGAGAAATGGCATAATAATTGGTTTCTAGGTTTTTGAGGAATTAAATTTGACAAGAGTACGCATACTGTTTTCTCTATTGAATATTTGAAGTAAGTTTTGTGTAAAATTGCTTGAGGACAAGCAATGATTCAAGTATGGGGGAATTTGATAAGTGAATATTTAACGTACATTTTGTATGAATTTGGCATGAATTTTTGGTATGTTTTGAGAAGATTAAAGCCATATTTAAACTCTTTTGGTGATAATTGCTTAAATATTGTTTAAGAGTTAAGAAATTGATAAATGAGTGATTAATGCGTAATTTTGTGAAATTGTGAAGGTAATTGATGTATGAAATTCATGCACAAGTTGAAAGAAATGTCAGGGTCATCCAGAGGACAAAGTACACAAGAAAGTGGGAGCAAAAATGTAGAAAAAGGGAAGAAGTGAAAAACTGGAAAAATGTTCAACACGGATCCGAGCTCGGATCCGTGTGTACAAGAGGGATCCGACCCCTCGTCTGTACTTCTGGCGGAGTATATCCGAGGTCAGGACGATCCGACCTCGGATCCATCATGGGAAGGCCTCGGATCCTATAATCCGAGCTCGGATCCATTATCACTCCTCGGATTCGAGGCTCGGATCTGTCTCTCTCCTCAGCAAGTGGCACAGCCGTTTTTCTTTACCTTTCTCACAACTTTTACAGCTATTTTGAGGGACAGAAATCGGTGGCACATGCTTCTGCAATAAAAGAGAAGACCAAATGAGTGTGGACAAAAGGAACATCATATCTTTGACTTCTTTTTACAAAATCTAAGTGGAGGAAATTATGAAGTGAGAGGAATGGAATTTCTACCACCTTTTATGCAGAAACACAAGGGAGAAGCAAGGATAACCATACGTAGCTAGTTTTTCATTTTGTAACAAGTTTCTCTCTAGTTAGGAGTCTTGGAGAAGCATTTTGTCTTTGGAGTTTTTCACTTGTAATCAGATTGTGCAAGAGCATAGCAGGAATTAGAGAGCTTCACCTTCAGTTGGCTAAGCTTTCTTTCATCTTTCTTATACTTGTACTGTATGATGTTTTGCAGCAATAAACTTGTGATTCTGATTGTTGAATCATACATGAGTAGCTAACTTTCTTCATCTAGGGAGTAGATGAAACTTATGGCTAAATAGTATAAATTGAATGTGATTTACACTTGTTATATCTTGTATTAACTTGTCTACTTGTGTAGCTGTGATTACTTGCTATTGATTGATCACCAATAGTTTGGTTATAGTTGTTATTGTTCAATGAGAATTGGTAATAACAATGGAAACACATGAGTAGAGCTTGAGTTGTATGTTCATGAAAATAGAGATACACGTAGGTGGATTACTTAGCATTTCATGAAATAAAACAGAGTAGTAGTAGTATTTCACCATGAAAATAGGGAAATCTATATTGCTTTAGGCCATTTCATCATGAAAATGAGTCTTGGAAACTTTGGAAATGAATCTGTGGTTAAGCAAGAATAATAGCAAGAAGTAAATCCATTCATTTGTATTGTTTATGCCATAAGTGGAATCTACATCCCTAGAATCTTCCTTAAGTGAAATTTCTCTATTTGCATTCAGCATTTGTTAAACTAGATTTGTATATCAGATTTGTAGATTACAGCATTAGATTTTCTCTGCTCAAATTAATTGTTAGTCTAAATAATAGAGAAAATAAGGGCTTAGTAATTGTTTGAATTGCTCCTCGTGGGATCGACCCGATATACATCTTGTACTACAATTGCGACCTGTATACTTGCAGTCCAACGGGTGTAAAATCGGAATTAAACTTGCATTGATACAAAAAGAACCCGTCAATCTCCATAATTATTGATTGGGACACTCAAATTATCTTGATATTCGGGGCACATACCGGTTGAATGATCCCTGACATAACAAATTTTACAGGTTGCAGCAGCCATTCTTTCTCTAATAGAGTTTAGTGCCTCTGAATATGCAAACTTAGCAAAAAAATAAGTCTCATTGCCTTCCCTGGAAACAAAATCCAGTCTATCACCAAAATACGGAGTGTTAGAAGCCATAAACTATATAAAAAAATAAGAGAAAAATAAATTAAAAAAATAAGAAAAAGATGAACCCAAAAAGAAACAAATTAATCTGGCACCAGTCCTCGGCAACGGCGCCAAAAATTGACAGGTGCCGAACCTGTGCAATAATAATTACCTACTCAAGAAAAATACAGATTTTGTATATAGCGGTGAGTACGGTCGAATCCACAGGGATTGGGGATAATTCGTTTCTTTTAGAGTTCAAAGTATAGGGGGTTTTAGGATTAAATGCTAACTAAACAATTTAACTGCAGAAAAGTAATTAATTAAAAGAAATAACTAGGAGAGTTCTAGCCAAGGGTACACTTCAGAAATGGTTCATGCATTGATCATTGATGCAAAAATAGTTCCAACATTTATTAATAGATCAGTTATAGTTGTCATACACGCGATAAATAACCAACCCTTCCTTAATTTATCGATAGTCAAGGTACGACCGTTAACTACTTCCCTAACCCAAAAACAACCCTAGGTACGACCGTAGGATTTAATTTCTGGTTTGTATTAATAATTAGAAAGACCCAATCCTAACTAACAAACACGCTACGAGGGTTTGTTTAAGGGAGGTAGATGAATGAAAAGAGGAGAAAGAAAAGTCGAAGGTTGTGAGAAGTGCTAATTTACTTCACTTGTGTGATGGTTGAGGTGCCTTGAAGTTTCAAATGTGCAAAGCATCTGTGTATTGAATCTCTGAGCACTTTCTTTATACTTTTACACCCTTTTGATTCCTTTTATCCTACCTTCTCACCCTAACCCCATTACAACCTTGCGAAGTCCCTTGATTGTTGCATTTAAATTCATAAGTAAGTGGTGAAGATATGATATATGAGCAAACTTATGGTAGTGTCATTCTATTGTGTTGATTTGAGAGCCATCTTATATACATTTCATATACACTTTGGAGTGAATGAGTGCACTTTGAACTGTGAGCGTTGTTGATTTGGTATATTCTGATTTCGATGAGGTTATTGGGGAATTTGGGATGCCATTTTTGGTATGAACTGCTGTGATTTGCTTAGTATCTTTATTGCATTTCTGAGTTAATTATGCTTGAGGGCAAGCATGATTTAGGTGTGGGGGGAATTGATAGAGTGTTAATTGTTAGTAATTTTATTGTTAATTTCCCCTTTGTCCTTGTCAAATATTGTTTTAATTAGTAATATTTACTTATATTTGGTATTTGGACTTAATTTCAGGGATTGAAGCAAGAAACTACAAAAAAGGAGGGACTTGCTCCATAAGTGGGAGACTTCAAAAAGGCTCCATGGACTTGGCCCACAAGGAGAGGAAGAAACGGAATGGCTGATGAAGAATTAATTAGTACTAAGGGCTCTACTAGCAATAGCAAACGGGAAGAGAGGAAACATTGAGTAGGGCCTGGCCCTTTGGTACCCTTTGTTGACTTATGCGGCGGGGACCGCGGAGAATAGGGAAGGCATTAGTCATTTGGCTTTAAAAGAGCAACAAACGTACACAGAAGCTCTTATCACTAATTTTAGGGAGTTAGCTTTTTAGCATAGTCTAGTTTGTCCTTTTTTCTTCTTTGCCGTCTCTTCTAGGAGGACGACGGAAACATAGCTTTGTTTTAGAAAATGACTTCTACAATTTCGCATGGTTGTTCTCCGTTAATGGAGGACTAACATCCTACTTCTAGTCAAGGGACAACTGAAGATTTGGTTCAACAATTTCTGTGAGATCTAATTTATTTTAATTGCTTCCTCCATTTATTGGTATTCATATGTTTCCTGCTTTTAACCGTTATAGCTCGTGTGGATGATTGATTAGTGCGCAATAATTGATTATTCATATAGGCTATTTTGCTAATTAGAGGTAACTGAATCCGTAATTGTTCGTTACCTCTATCCCAGTAGCAACTGGCGTAATTGGGTTTATGTCAGGGAAACATACGATCTAATTTAAACAAACCCTCGTAGCGTGTTTGTTAATTAGGATTGGGCCTTTCTAATTATTAATGCAAACCAGAAATTAAATCCTACGGTCGTACCTAGGGTTGTTTTTGGGTTAGGGAAATAGTTAACGGTCGTACCTTGACTATCGATAAATTAAGGAAGGGTTGGTTGTTTATCGCATGTATAACAACTATAACTGATCTATTAATAAATGTTGGAATTATTTCTGCATCAATGATCAGTGCATGAACCATTTCTGAAGTATACCCTTGGCTAGAACTCTCCTAATTATTTCTTTTAATTAATTACTTTTCTGCAGTTAAATTGTTTAGTTAGCATTTAATTCTAAAACCCCCCATTAATCTTGACTTGAAAAGAAATAAATTTCTCTCCAGTCCCTGAGGAGACGACCCTGCTTACCACTGTCTACTAGTAGTGAATTCAGTTAAATAATTAATTCAGGTATATCGGATTAAGCAAACTCTTCGGGAACAGGGTGAATCAAGTAACCCATTGCACACCTAGAGTCCCTGCTCCAGTACTCGAATTGATTATTGACTGCCTTAGGTGGTAGTTAGGTTTTATTTATTATTATTGCACAGGTTCAGCACCTATCAATTATCGCACAGAGTTTACCTAGTGCGTCTTACTCCTGCATGTGATTGGCGGACGGAGCTGAGTTTACTCAAGGTAGCGGCCTTGCTTATGTGGCCGATTTTCCACTTCGTGTCCACAACTTCTACCACATCCACCGCTACAATTCAAACCATTTTGAGTACTGATATATGAGTACTAATCCACATGATTTAACAGTGGCATATTCAAAATTCACCACTTCGCGTCCACAACTTCTACAGTTTTACCACATCCACCGACACATCAGTAACCATTTTGAGTACTGATATATTAGTACTATTCCACATGATTTAACAGTGGCCTATTCTTTCGATATAGTAATATGCTGAGTTGGTTGAATTGCAGGCCGGCTCTGATTCCAGGAGCTAGAGAACGCTTCACTTCAATGTATTCGATGCATCTGTGGTTTAATTCTGGAGGAAGACTGGGTACAAATGCTGTTTCTGTTGATGGTGGGTTTCCTTCGTTTATACCTGAGGAAGTTAAAGAAATCAAGGATCCGTTTGCTCGAGCTTTGGCTCAGAGGATTCAAAGACTTCCTGTAAAGGTATATATGCTTTTTTATTCCTCTGCACAGCATGTTGTAGCATAATTTGTCTTTGATCATCCAGCAAGTTTCTGTTTAGAATATTGCTCAAGAGGCGAGGCCCAGAATCGTAATATGCATCACGCAGCCAATTGGATCGATAAAAGGAAAGAATCTTAATTTGTGTGTGTGCGTGTGCGTGTCCTTCTGACTTAAAAAAACATTTCACTTCTATTCTGATGATTATATGCTCTGACAAGTAAATTCAGTAGTGGTGGTCCCAGACAAGTCTGCAGAATTTCTCATGTCTGACTGCAACTTATCATTGACCTGTTTTTGATTCCTCATATTCTGCCTGTCCTAAAGCTGCAGGTTGGATTTTCTGAGAGTTGTATAATGAGCAGCTGTGTGAAGCCAAGGTTTCAACGTGATACCAATCCAGCTGTCCTCCTCCATTGTTTCGACAGGTCTTCTACTCTTGTAATTTTCACTAGTTACTGGATACCTTTTTGTTTTTATTTCTTTTGTAATTATTACTACTTTTGTTATCCTTACTAGTCACTGATATTTACTACTTTTGTCTCTTTTCCCTTTTGCCCTTTTTCTTGCCTGGTGTGCATTCGAATGAGTAGCTCTTGTTTAGAATGGAGACGCACATACCCATTACTTGAGGACGCTGCAGTGGAGACTTGGGCAATTGACATTCTTGGATGGGGTTTCTCCGACCTAGGTTCGTCTTCAATTTCATCACAGAGATGCAATCATATTTTTCTCTTAGTTCAGGTGCTTTTGATTTGTGTTATGGTTCTTGTTAATTAATCATCTTAGCTAATCCTCAATTGGTGTAGAAAGACTTCCTCCCTGTGACGCGGCATCCAAAAGATATCACCTTTACCAGGTACTTTGGAAAGATAACATCCTGGACATATGCTGATTGATTGTTACCATCCGTCACGCAAATGTTAGGAATAACCTAATTGGCGGTTATTGTTAGTTCTTAGACATTGATCTAACTTTGTGGGCTTCTATTATAGCTTTGGAGGACTCACATCCAACGACCAATGATATTAGTCGGACCAAGCCTTGGTGCTGCAGTCGCGATTGACTTTGCTGTCAACTTTCCAGAAGCTGTAAGCAGTTTTCTTTCAACTGAGATTTTCCTTGAATTTGACGTATAACCACTCAAGTTTCTGAAGTATTCAATCTTCCCATGGAATAAATTACTAACGTGCCTAAAAAAAGAGATGAACAGATCGCCTGGATCAATTTGAAACATTTATCTGTGGTGTTTCTGGTGTCTGTTAGTGAGAGATGGTGAGAGCGACAATAAGTTAGAAAATATATATGTATGTCTAAGATCAATGGCAATAAGGCCAACACATACGTTGATACATTACCAGATCTACAAAGAAAATCAATAGGGGTTAACACAGATAGTAAGGTTTATACATCTTGTGTAAGGGAAGTTCAAAGTTAGAGTTCCGTCGCGAGCAGTCTCCCGTTGATAGGCTCTCTGTTAGAATTACGGTAAGCTACTGAAAAATGCGCCAGTGACCTGGGGATTTGCATTTTGTGTAGACTTTCTTCTACCATGAACTTCAATAACCTCCAAAAAAAAAAAAAAAACTAGAAAGATGGAAGTGCTTGAAGCCTTATCCTGCTAGATGTAGTAAAAAAACTAGATGCATCCACTAGAATATAGTACAAGAGATTATTTTATTGTGTGAAGTGAATTGATTTGCTCTTTGTTCAGCAGAATTCGTGAGATTGATAAAGTTAAAACTTACTGTTGACGTGTCCATTCACAAAGATAGTAGATCGTGAGATGAGGGAAAGTGTATAGATATACAATCACAACAGATCTGCAAAATCTTGTTCTTCGAGGTTTACAGGATAATTCTGCAGTCTGCTTCTTCTCTCAGTATCATCGATTGTGCTATTCATCATTCTTATGCTATCTATTCTGTTGTTTGCAGGTTGATAAGCTGATTTTGATTGGTGCAAGTGTTCATGTTGAAGGCACAGGGCTTCTGACAAAGCTACCCAAATTTTTAGCATATGCTGGGGTAAACTCTTCTTCATCCTCATCATCGTCTTCTTCTTCTTCTTCTTTTTTCGCCTCTTCTGGAAAGCTAATCAAGGATCCACATATCCAAGGAGTTAAGCATCAGCAGTGCCCATCATAACAGAAAAGGAATATCATTCTGAATTTTGTAATAAAATTATGTCAAGAGGACAAAAGGGTTTTCTGAAGAGCTCCAATAACAACTTTTGCATTTTCATGTGGCCTGAGACCTTTGGGATTTGTTATCTTTTATCTGTGCAAAGAGAGCTATATTTCCTAAAAATGTGTTGTACACTCTTTTTTTTACCCAGTCTTTTGTAGGATAACAATTTAAAGAGGACTGCTTTGGCACATATTCTGGTTCGACAGAAACGACAAGGAATGTCTACGAACTGATGAACATCGTATCTTTGAATTCGTTCATTAATTGGATCAATGAATCCATTTTCTCATTTTACTTCTTAGGACATTTTGATGAACAAAATTTGGTCCTACCAGATAAACACAATCAGTAATTAGTATTGTCTAAGAGGATGAAACTCAGGGACTTGGTGCAGTTCTATCTTGGCTCTAAGTACTGAAGAAGCTCTTAGAACATGATAAAGAGTCTTTTATAGAGAAGCCTGAATTTGTAGCCACAAAGATAATCATTTGAGCAGACTTGATGTTCTTAGACAAACTAGGTACTGCTTGTATCATCTTATTTATCATGTTTGCATCTCACGTAGACATTTTTCAGGTCTCTTTGTTGAAAAGCCTCCCACTGCGGCTGTTTGCAAATTTACTAGCTTTTGATGATATATCCTTGTCAACATGCTTTGATTGGACCAATGTGAGTGTCCCTATTGATCTAGCTCGTATCAAGCATGGAATTTTATTACACTGATTTTCTGCAGGTTCCTTGCTCTCAGCAGATGCAAGTCTTGAGTGATATCTATCTAACAGATGCATTCTGCTTGATTTCCAAGCAGGTTGGCCGCCTACACTGTCTTTTGCCTTGGTGGGAAGATGCTACAGTGAATTACATGCTTAGTGGTGGCTACAATGTTGTTAATCAAATAAAGCAGGTATAAAATCTTCCATGCTGTATCTGCATTATCAAACAGAAATTTCGTTATTGATTCACCTTACGTACATTCTATGCTCATACCTTTGTGCATGGAAACCCCATGCTGTTTTGGGTACGTTAACGTTTGTGGCTGATTAGTACAGCCATCTTGTCATCCTTTGACAACCATTAATTGATAGTCTCCTTGTTATGGTGCATGATTAATATATTATTGTTAATTTATTCCTTTTCTCTCATACATTTGAGTTCTATATCTTGTATTAGAACCATAGGTTAAAGAAATTGATCCAAAATTGCCAGTGAACATACCAAAAAATTGTGGGAGACAAATTTCATTGTGGGAGCAATTGATAGACATACAAGTTTGTGTAGAAGAAGAATAATAATAATTCAACAATAATATATTAATCACACATAATAGTAACATGTTCTTCTCAATTGATGATAATATATTTTTTTTTTTTTCATAAAATTTTATTATTTTATAAAAATTTCGGCATAATTTCCCCTTATAAAAGGACGAAACTCCCTGCCATCAAACCACAATTTGACAATAAATATACAATATAGCGAAGGATTAAGCACTGAAAATCTGATACTAAGATTAAATCTTCCGTTGTCCATATTAGGATGTCTTCCAGTGAATCTGAATGTTGATCCTTGAAGCTCAGCGGTTAATCTTGTCACTTTCACCTGCATTGGTCTTTTTTGCTTCTTATTCCCATTCATGCCAGACACCGTGTACGAAACGTAGGAAGTCCCAATCGATCTAATCTAATAGCCCCCCTGACCAATAGTGGTAAATCTGAAAATGTATTAAACACATGACCTGCGCAAGCATCAGCACCAAAATTTGCCAGATGATCTGCCGGTGTGTTTGCTTCTCTGTAGCAGTGTGTGATGGATTGGAAAGACTGCTTGAATATCATCAACTCATCCAGATCTCTCTGTAGACGCCAAGGACACGCACTAGTCCCTTGAACAATCTGAACCAGGGTGAAAGAATCTGCCTCTAAGTGTAACTCCAAGTACCCTCGAATCACACAATGTCTAACTCCCCATAACAACGCTCGAAGTTCTGCTTGCATGCTAGTTATCACTCCGAAGGGCTCCGCGTATCCAAATACAAAATTTCCTCGACTGTCTCGCACAAGTCCACCCCCCCCACTCCTTCCTGGGTTTCCCCGAGAGCATCCATCTGAGTTCAACTTATAACCTCCACACGGAGTTACCCAATAAACTGGCTTAATAATCATCCGCCTTTGATGACTACCCAACTCGAGAAGTAACCCTTCCCATGTAGGAGCAGAACACTGCACCCCCGGGAACCGTGATTGAAGAAAATCATGAAGAAGCTGAACAATCCGAGTCACCGTATCCCTTATCCTCATCTTCCGATCTTCAAACACCCCTTCATTCCTTATTTTCCACAAAACCCAGCATACTACCGAAGGAAGTATATTTTGTAAAAATTTTACACGGTCATTAGTTCCCCTCCTTACCCAACAAGACCACACCATGTGACGTGTTGTATGCACCCCACTAAATTCACCAACAGTACTCTCGAAGTGACGCCAGACCGATCGTGCCCCTTCTCCTGAGCAAAATACATGATTCAAGGCCTCTTCCTGAGGGTTCTGACAACAGAAGCATTTAGATGGGCCATAGACCCCAAACCTCTTTAGTCGATCCATAAGAGGGAGCCTCCCCTGTAGTAGTCGTAACATAAAAAAAGAGATCTTGACTGGAAGGCCTTGCTGCCATATACGGGCAAAAAGCCAAGAGGTGTCATTGGAATGACTGATCAATGAGTAAGCCGATGCAGTGGAAAAAACACCCGAGTTCGTTAATGTCCACACCATTCTGTCATTGCCCCTACCTGAAGGAGGATCAAGCTCCAGAACCTGCCTAACCAGTTCTCCATCTAAGAATTGATGGAGCATGCCCACATTCCAGACCCGTCGATCTACAAAATCAACCACGGAATGATCATGGAAGACATCCACCTTGTTGCAAAGCGCTCCTGACCCCATCCAATTGTCATGCCAAAAATCCAAAGCACCCTCACGAACTATCCAAGTAATATTCTCCTCCCCAAAACGCTGCATTGTGACCATCCTCCTCCAAGCCTGGGATCCCCGATGACCAATATCAGCAAGACAAGGGTGCTGCCCTGCACAATACTTTTGGAGCATAAACTTTGCCCATAATGATTGCTGTTGCCGGAATTTCCACCAGAGTTTAATGGAAAATGAGTCGTAGACCTGCATCAACCCCCGCAGGCCTACACCCCCTTCATCCTTCGGCCGACACAGATCTGCCCAACTGATCCAATGGTACTTGTTCCCCAAATTCAAGGATCCCCACAAGAACTTGGCAAACAATTTCTCTAGGGCCATCAACATCCCTTTTGGAGGGGACGCGGCTGCCAGCAAATGAATTGGCATAGAGGCTAACACGCTCTGAATCAATACCACCTTGCCCCCTGACGATAAAATCTGGTTCTTCCAAGACAAAATGCGATTCGCCACCGCATTATATGTATCCGTATAGTAAATCGTCTTACTCCTTCCGTCATATAAGGGACAACCAAGGTACCGTATCGGAAATACTCTTCTATTATATCCCAATACCTGGTTAACAACCGTTGTCCTCTGAGCTGGTGAGCGTGGATGAGTAAGGAAACAACTCTTCTGAGGGTTGAGCCGCTGACCCGATACCTCACTATAATCTTCCAGAACTCGTTTAATCAAATGTAGGGATGACCTGCTGCCACTAGAAAAGATAATCACGTCATCGGCGAATGCCAAATGCGTAATTATAGGACAATGAGGAGGCACTTTAAACGGAGTAAATCCTCTCTGTGTGGGTAGCTTGTTGAGGGCTCGAGACAACAACTCAGCTCCAATAACGAATAAGGCTGGTGAAATGGGATCTCCTTGCCGTAAACCCCGTGAAGATTTGAAAAAGCCGTGTGAACCGCCATTTACAAGCACCGAAAACCAAATATTCGATATTAAGCGCCATATCATGTCTATCCAAGTTTCACTGAACCCGAAATACCGTAACACCTGTAGTAGAAAGGGCCATGAGACTCTATCATAAGCTTTCATCATATCTAACTTGATGACCACGTTGCCACCCCGATTTGATTTTTTAATATCCGCTACTAACTCTTGGGCTAACAAGAAATTATCTGTAATCTGCCTCCCTTGGACAAACCCACTTTGCTGTGGAGATATAATCCGGGGTAATATTATCGCCAATCTTGTCGATAATAGTTTGGAAATGATTTTGTTAGTGAAGTTACATAGACTGATTGGCCGAAATTGCTTGAAATCTTGGGGGTTCTCCACTTTGGGTAACAACACAATTGAAGTAGCCGTGATACTCCTAGGTAGTTCAGCGCCGCAGAAAAAGCTGATAACCGCACGGTATATATCCAAAGCCACTACCTCCCAAGCAAAGGTAAAGAATTTCCCTGTAAACCCGTCCGGCCCTGCTGTGCTCTCTCCGTCCATAGCAAAGACTATGTCTTTAACTTCTGTAAGAGATGGAATGTCCGTTAACCGTGAGTTTTCTTGGTCCGTTATCAATTTCGGTATGATCTGCAGACCAGTAAGGCAAGGAAGGCCCCCCTCTGCTGTGAAAAGCTCCTTAAAGAAACCCACTGCTGCTTCCCCAATCTGGCATTCCTCATCGATCCACTCTCCAGCGGTATCTTTGATCCGATGAATTACTGCCCTATGCCTCCTTTCCGTGACCAAGGAATGAAAATATTTGGTGTTCCTATCTCCGTCCGAGAGCCACCTTACCCGCGCCTTTTGTTTCCAAAAACCCTCCTCAACTATAAGCGCTCTGCGTAACCGAGCCCGAGCATGATGTAACTCGCTCCGCCGTTGCTCAGTAGGATCCAGGTCGTATGCTGTTTCAGCCTCTGTTACCATACGTTCGGCATCACGTGCTCCCTGAAAAATATCCCCAAATGTCGTTCTAGACCATTGCTTGAGGGCATTTTTAACATTCCTCAACTTCAAGGCCAATACTTGCAAAGGAGAACCATTGACTGGTTGAGCCCAACAATCCTTGATAACCCCCAGTAAACCAGGATGAGTAGTCCAGATGTTTAAGAAACGGAACGGCTTGGGTTTGTTATCTAGTTTCGTATCCACCGACAACAATAATGGAGCATGATCCGACGGGTCACGTCCTAAATGTTGCACCATGATTTGGTATGGAAGCTCTAAAGCACGCCCGCATAGAAGTAAGCGGTCCAGACGTTTCCATATCCGCGCCGTTCCCGAACGGTTATTACACCAGGTATATCTTGAACCAGAGAATCCCGCATCACAGACACCGGCCATCGTCATGAAATTCAAAAATTCTGATCCCTCCGACGGTCTAAATGGCAATCCACCCCTCTTCTCCTCGGTATTTATGACCACATTGAAATCTCCTATCAAAAACCAAGGGTTGAAGTCGGGTTTATCCCCCAAAAGTGCATTCCACAAGTTTTCTCTTTCCTGCTCCGTACACTTCGCATGTATACAAGATAAAGTAATGAAGTCTTGAAAAAAATGAGATTTAACTCTAATAGTTAGATGTTGGGGAGACTCCCCTGTAATCTGACACGTAAACAACGACCGGTAGAAAATCCAAACAGAACCCCAAAGATTGAACAAGCAACAATCCATCCCCAATTTAATTCTAATATTAGTGATTGACTCCACCCTCACTTTAGGTTCAACAACAACCACCAATTGAAGATCATACATTTTAATAAGTTTCCTTAATCGTCTTAAATTAGGAGCACGAGCTACCCCTCTTATATTCCAAAAAAGAAACTTAATCATCAGAAAGGACAGAAAAAGAATTTGATGAAGAACTAACCATGGAGCGTAGTGTTCTATCTGACGGGAGACCAGCTCGGAGACCACGTGACACCGTCTCCAAATGCCCGGTCTGTAGTGATGACTTCTCCTGTCGGACAAGGTCCTTGCCCCTAGGGGAGAGGGTACCTACCCTCCTTTGAGAATCCTGTATGTCATCAATATGTCCCTCAGCAGAACACACGACCACCCTCGCGGGCAGCGCACTCCCTGCAATCTCAGAACCTTCCTCTCCTTTCTCATGTCCCAGTACCACCTCGATACCTTCGACAGCCACCGCCCCACATTCCTCCTCCGTTTTCCTCTCATGCTGTGCTGCTATAGTATCAGAGGACTGCTGCATCTGGTCCTCTTGCTCAGGCTCGTGAGATGTACCACCTGGTGACTGATCATGAGCAACTAACTCTTTGCTAGCCATAACTCTATTAACTTCTCCCTTTGCCCCATCAATCACTGCATCATCTTGTATCAACCTTGCTGGGTTTTTTGTATTATCCTCCGAAGGCCCATCAGGCCCAGTAGTCTTGGCATGTTGACCAGAGGTTCCTCTCAATTCGGGCTTTAAAACATGACAAATCTCCACATCGTGACCTTGGCGGAAACAATGTGAGCAGTACCTTGGAAGGTTCTCAACCACCAGCTCTTGCCAAAAACCAGTATGACTTCCATTGCCAATCCAAACCCGCGACGGAGTCGACCGCAACAAATCCATCTCAACACACACCCGTGCCACACTTGGTCGTGACACCGCAAGGGTAGCCGCATCAACCAACAAAGGGTTACCCACCATAGAAGCAATCTGAAAAATCACCTCCTTATTGAAAAAATGCAGCGGGAGCTTTGGTAATTGAAGCCACAGCGGAACCACCGACGACTCCCTATCAACATGGAAGTCTGTGGTCCATTTGAATACTCTCATGGGGAATGAAGCCACATACCAGATCCTTCTGAACCATACACGATGGAAATCAGCTTCATTGTTCAACTGAATTAACACATGTCTTGCGTCCAATAGGCCAATCGTCGGGTTCTCACGTAAATCCAGCGATGCAATGAATTTCCTCACCTCCTCCAACTTCGGTCTACCTCTAGAGAATTTCCCAATCAATGCAAAACGAAATGGACTGGCCAAAGCTTCAACCGCTGCCTGTGGGAAAATCAATGCAGGTTCTCCTTTGTGTGTAGCCTCCTGTGCCGCAAAGGATAGTGTCGGCTGCTGTGAGTTTTTCGTGAACAAATCAGAAAATGATTTGCGTTGAAATGTAGGGGGGGCAGGCTGCCCTCCATCAGGTGGCCGTACGGCAGCCATGGACTGCCGCACCACTGCCCAAACTACTTCTTGTAAACCTTAGCACAAAAATGGTAAGAATGTAGAAGTTTATAGAACCGGAGTGGACTTCACCTTTGGCTAGAAAACCAAATCCAGGTTACCAAATCCAAAGCTAGTTTTCTGTATAGGCATTATGACAAACATGTGGTCTACATGACTTAAGTTCCTCTGGTTCTTTGAAGCTAAGCTGATTGTAAAATCCAATTTTTCCAACAATCTTTGTGAGAGTAATAACTCCAGAAAATTATGGGATGAAATTGCCCATAATCAATCCAAGCGATCCTTTAATGTCCGTAGCCCCAAGATGTCCAGTCCAGAAGCTTGGACCGAACTATAACTCTGCTCTCAAATCTACCTTCAAAAGTTACCTTGGCAAGAGGCACAACAGATAGATTGAGAAGCTGAAGAGTAATGGTTGATGAAGCTTGTCTCCTCTACTCACCGATTTGAATAATAAAACCACAAGAAATTGATGATAATAATAAAACCCTCTATTTATAGATGAAATGATTTGGTAAACAAGTCTTACAACCACAAGAAATTTTCTAATAAAATACTAAATTCGAGATAATAAAACTATCATAACTAGGCACCAATAGAATTACTAAAATATTAACTTGACTAAAACATGCTAAATAATCATATGAAAATTTATGCATTTGAGCCTTGATACAATATGCCAAGTACCATATCAAAGGCCAAAATCTTAAAATCTACTTTCGCAATTCATCATTATTGACTAAATGACTTAAAATGCTTAAAAAAGTGCTCACTTTTTGCAGGTGAACAAGAGAGTTCTTATCATCTGGGGAGAGTGTGATAACATTGTCAGCAATAAGCTTGCAGTGGTCAGCTTCCATCTATTTGAGCTTTAGTTTTAAAGGAAAAGTTATTTTTGTGGATAAACGCTATTCAAATGAAAATTGTGTGGAAGCAACTAGCCAGTTTGAATAGTGGTAAATATGCTCCAAAAGATTTGTGGAACAAATTGACAGCAAAAAATCTCAGAGAAAACTTCTCCCACCTGCAGAAAAAAATAAAATAGAAAATCATAGAGGTTGTTGTCAGGATGGAGCTAGAAAGGAAATTCAGTGGGAGCAAAGTTAGTACATATAAAATTTTACTAACTATAATACGAAAAAAATATGTTTAAATAACAATATATTTGAAAGTTATGTGTGTAATTAATCAACGGCTTAGAATAAAAAAACATCTTCCAAATCTCAAATTATAAAGAATTCTTCCACTTCTCCTTCCACAACCCTGATAAATTTTCTCTAGATTTTTATTAAAATGAAATAAAAAATGAGCAATGTTTGTGAGTTCGAATCTGCAGTCAAAAAAAGAAAAAAGAAAAAAGAGCATTTTTTGTTCTAAAAGCGCATTAGAGTAGATGAAAGAATAAATGCAAATTGAGTCTCTTTCTTTGTTGGTGTCATTTATTATAGGTGTTGTTAAATTATTTGAATATAGAGACATATAAACAAAGTGTGCTACTTCAGATTTTGTTAAACAGTAGTGAAGCTAATTTCATCAAGTGTAGAGGTGAACCTATAATTTGATATGCATATATGGAGATTTTAGTAGGGACAATTCTCTAGTACTTAAATTTTTGCTGAATGATAGTGGAGGCAATTTCATATAAGTTTGGGCACAAAGCTACAGTTGCCGCCACTGACTCCACTTTGTCTCTGTCGCCATCCCGGCCTCCAGCCTCCGGGGAGGTGGGCGAGAAAAGGTGGGATTGATCGTTCAAGAAGTAAAACACTCGTTTTCAACTCTTCCTGCATGTTGCATAAATTGCAGAGGCTGCATAGTGAATTGCCAGATGCGACTATCCGCCAGATACCTGATTGTGGTCATCTCCCGCATGTTGAGAAGCCTGAGATGGTTGCGAGGTTAATCGCGGATTTTGCTCTGTCCGGCACACGTAAAGAGGAGCAGAATCCAATTGTCTTGAACTCGGCTGGGGAGAAAAACACATCGTCGTTCATATGCTAAAAGCCGCAAAAGCTTAGGGAGCATTTTAGACTAACAGTCTAGCGCAGGCTTTATGCAAGTAGAATGATAGTACTAGTACAACCTGTAATGGCTTGTCTAATTATGGATTGCTGGATTCATTTAGCCGTCTCTATGAAGTAAAAAACAGATAAAAGTACCAGAGTAATGATATATATCACCGGTGTATCACCTCCTGCATGCATGTCTATGTAGGATATGCCCCATGTCAACGATTAAATTTATATATTTTTCGATTTAGAAACATTTATATTTGAGTAATTTTCAATTTTTTTATCAAGTTCCTAATACACATATGGAAAGCTTTCCTGAGGAAAATATATACTCTAATTATATTTACGTTTATTCAGTTAATCCTCTCTACCACCCCACCTTCTTCTTCCATGAATTCAAGTAGACTCCATAAGCATCTTTAATTATAAATTTTGCAAGCTTTAGGGTAGTTTTACACAAAATATGAAAATCAATGAGGGTAATCCATACGTATCAAATTTTCGTAGCAAGAATACTCCTGATGTATTCAGAACTCCAATGATTGAGGTATGCTTTATAGTTCTCTTTCTTTTTGTGCATTTTTCGTATTTGTTCAATAATTGATTGATTGAAGTGGATAGTTTGATCATGGTGATTTTGTAACCATAGGATTTGCAAAAAGTTTTTTTTTCAGTAGCGAATTAGGATAACTTAAATCAGTGATCCTTTTTCACATATAATGATTGAATTTACATGCTTTTATACGTTTATTGTTCAATTAATGTTGTTCGAAGTAGTCATACATTATGCATTAAATAGCAAATCAATCAATTTCAAACCAAATTGGTTTTAGTACATTCCCGTAATTAGCCAAGAAAGAAACATTCCAAAATGATAACCAGTTATTAGTTTGGAAACTTACAAATATCAAGCCTTAATTGATTTTGTATAGGAATTATTTATGGTAAGCTTGAAAAGAATAATTGAGCATTATAAATTTTTATTAATTTGATATATCCACATAATTATTGCCAGGCCATTACTCCTTAAAAATAGAAAATGAAACCTTGTTACACATTATCACTCCGTATAGCGCATCAAATCCTCTATCCCGACATTACATTCTATCTCATCTATGTTGTGTTTATATAACTGGCATGTGTATTGATGCATTAATAATTCAAGCAAACAGAGTAGTAAATAGATCAATCATATTTCCTCGAAGCGAAGTTGAAGGGTTCTTTCTCATGGTGCAATTCTATGACCCACTTTAGGTGAATATAACAAGTTCCGTTTTGTGCAATTTGGGGTATTTAATTTTTACACTATGTTAAAAAATATTTACACCAAGTGATGAGAAATCAACTGTACTTGATTTACACTTGAATCCAACTTGTTTACATTCAAATTCAATTGGGTAAATAATCTCAGCGGCCACTAAACTATTGGTCGGATCATATTTTGGCCGTCAAACTATTTCTCGTCAATAATTGACCACTAAACAATATGATCAGTAAATTCATGACCATTTAATCGATAATTGCTCTTAATATGTGAAATTAGCAGTTAATCTATGAAATAGGGTTACGTAATCATTGCATAAAATTGCCCCCGCACTTTGTCACGTATACTGCTAATTCACAAATTAAGAGCAATTATCGACTAAATGGTCACAGATTTACTGATTAAATTGTTTAGTGGCCAATTACTTACGAAAAATAGTTTGATGGTCAAAACATGATCCGACCAATCCAATTTATCTATAGCAAACTCCAACTTTTGGATATATAAAATTATTTATACAAAAATTCTACTTATTTACATTAGGGACAAACTTGTATGAAATTGTGCTAGACATAACTTGTGAGATCCCGAATCCATGATTAATCCATCCGTGGCAAATATGCCATTGAAGACTAGGAGGAGATGATGTGTGCACGGATGGCGGCCTTGACTCAAGGCTTTCATAGAGACATTGAAGGCTTGGAAGTTGCTAAGCGAGTTGTCTACACATTGATCCAAACCCATGAAGAGTCAAGTAGAGTCCACGGGTCCCCTGAGTAGAATCGGCCAACTGTTGGGCCTTCATAATCTTGAGTTGTCAAGTCATTGTTTAGATTAATTACTAGTTGAGTCATGGATTCAGCCCACCTAGTTCAAACGATGGCCGAACCTCCCTTTCCCTTTCCCCCCTAGCATTAGGGTTTCTTAGTCGTGAGTCTATATAAAGGGTTACTTTGTACGAGTTGAGGGTTAGACGTTTTATCAATAAAATTCATTGTTTTCGATTCTCTCTAGTGTGAGAAACTCGATCCTCTACTTGCTTTTGGCAAGGCTTCTTGAGCAATCTCGTGCTTGTCATTGATTGTTCATCCGACCTATCCACTTGAGTATTCACCTCGATTGGAGTCATGGTTCTACCACCTTCAATCAAATTGTGTCGTCCGTCTTGGTTTTAGGTTCCGCAATCCAAGCGTTGGACAACCTCGCTAGATCCTTGGGCAAACGTGCTACGTGTCTCGAAACGTGTTGATCGAGGAGCGTATTAGGAGAGCAAGCCCCAAAAACGAGGCATGATCCTTTTGCCGGGCCATAGCCGTAATGTGATTACTTTGATGATCATTGTTGAAGATAGGAGAAAAAGATTCTAATTCCATTTGGATTTATGCGTTGGTAAATTCTGCATTAAGCCAAGCCTATTAATAAATGTTTTTGGTGTTACTCCACTTACAAGAAATGATTATTACAGGTGATGATTTGGATGGTGTTTAATAGCTTAGGTAATCTCTCATTGAACAATTTGAAATGAAGGATCTTGACTTTCTTAATTATTTTCTAGGTCTTGATGTATCTTTAGATACTATTAGTTACTACTTGTCTCAGGTTAAATATACTTCTGATCTTTTGGCTTTTTACTGGCTTAACAGATAGTAAGGCTATTTCAACTCCAATTGAGGCAAATACTCATCGTACTCCTCTAGATGGCACTTTCTTGGACGGCCGTATGCGATGCTCTCAAATAGTTGGTAGTCTTGTCTTCCTGACTATTACATAGCCTGACATTATTTATACTGTTCATATCATCAATTAGTTCATGAGTGCTCCTCGTTCTATTCTTTATGCTATTGTTATATGAATCCTTCGCTATTTCAAGGTACACTTTTTCATGGTCTCCATTTTTCAGCCTATCCATCTCTTCAACTTCATGTTTACTCTGATGCTGATTAGGCTGGCGATCCTACTAATCATCATTGTGCTACAGTCTTTTACTTGTTAGGTGATTCTTTGTTTTCTTATCATAGAAAGAAATAGAGAGTCACAGCCTGATTTAGTTTTAAAGCTGAATATCGAATTTTAACTGACATTAGAAGGGCTAGTTTGGCTTCATTGATTGCTTGAAGACATGGGTGTTACTCACTCATCTCCTATTACTGTCCATTTTGATAATCATGGTGCTATCCAAGCAATGCTGGTTCTCATGGGCGCACCAAATATATTCAGATTGACTGTGATTTTATGCAGCAATATCTTTTTCGTGGTATATTATGCCCCTCTTCTATTCCTTCATTGGATCAAATGGCTGATCTCTACATCAAAAATTTTCTCCTGATTGTTTTCATGATCTCAAGTATAAACTCAAGCTAGTTTCTTTACAACCACCTTAAGTTTGATGGGATGTTAATGTAAACATGTTAATATGGATATTAGTTTATCAACTAGTCTATTAGCATCAGTTAGGAATTTCTTTATATAGACGAGTCTAGATTCAAGGTAATATATATTGTGAGAAATACATTACAATTATTATAAATAAGGGCATATGTGCACAATTCCTTTTATATTATTATGAGAAATGCATTACAATTTCCCAAACTTCAACTTCTCTAACAAATATCACAAAAATTTTTTAAAAATATTCTCTTGACAGATTTTCGAGTTATCTTTTTATTTCACATATACTTTAGCATAATTTTTTCACAAAAAATATAAAAACTTGCAATTTAAACAGGCTATGAGATCTTCAAGGCTTTTTTTTTTGGCATTAAAACCCAAGGAAGCTACGCGGCTGGTCGAGCATCCTCTCCATGGCCCCCCGGCTGTTGGATTACTAGAGCCCTCAGGTAAATTTCCCTCTGGAGATCTGCAATATTTAGAGTTCTTCCCTCCCGAATAGCAGACATAACGGGTGGCATGACTATAGTCCGCCAGTTTTTGATCAGATGCCAGATATAATAGGAGTCATAGGAAATTGTAGTGCTCCACGCCATGACCACAATAAGCACAATCACACCTGTCTCACTCAAGTTACCTCTAATGTCTTTTGGTACAACCGTAACAAGTGATATAGCATACGTTAAAAGTAGGCTCATAATTGCCACCGACATAATACGAAGTAAAACCACGAGCGAGACCATGCTACTTCTAGTAAACCTCGACTCGTCCATGAGCAATACAACTGTGGTCAAGGACGAAACAAATGCTGTGCTAGCTGCCCGAATCAGACGCCGGCAGAGCGCGGGATGAGTCTTGGCTATGACGGCTTCTCCTATTTTATGTGGATTAGGTCCTTCCGATAAGTCATCTTGCCATACCCCTCCTGGAGGGTTCACCACAACTTGAAAAGCCATAGTTGCTATGAGCGAAGCCACTACCATAATAGTTTTTCTGTTCTTTGCCATCAGCGTCCGGAACGTCTGTTCTCCATTAAGAACGTCCACGCCTCTTAAGGCTTCGGACTTTTGAAGAGAGCTTCGAATTTCGGATCTGATTTTACCCTGAGCCGACAAAAGGTCTAAAGCTGTTTTCCCATTTGCATTCTTGATGTTCACCCCAACTCTGGCCTCATCAAGCAAGTATTTGATCGTCTGCATTTCCCAATCATCAGTTTATGTAGTTCTAAATTCTAGATCGATCAAGGGTGGATCCTTTCGGTTGTTTGTTAGACTAAGAATCAGTACGATGTATTTGAAATTATCAAACCAAATAAGAAATTTAAAAAATAATTATTTATCCAATTAGCTTTGAGCTCGTGCAATTGTGGTTTGGGGTTTAAGCTTTACTAAGAAATTAAGTTTGGTTGGTTTTTGAGTAAATGCATTGTTGCATTTTTTATGGCAAAAGATTTTGAACTTGTTTATTGGCTTTGCTCCCTTGTAGGATTGTAAGTGAAGCTCGAGTCCAGTTGGAATCTTAACGTTATGCCTAGTTTGGGGGTGCATGAGATACAAGAAGAGGGTTTCAGTTAAGAAAGGAAATAAGGTTGAGGAAGAATG